GAGTATCGGCGTCAGGTGCAGGTGCTCACCTGCGAGGTGGAAGCGCTCAAGGGAACCGTAAGCACTTACATTTACCTGTTAGACTTATTCTTTGGCCACAAATGTGATGACTGGGACTGTAACAACAAACCTCAGCACTCAAGGGGGCTATAGAGTTTTCCTCAAATGCCTGTGCCATGAAATGGGTTATTATTCAGGCGGCTAGCTATGAACATGACAAACTGATAATTTAACTAACCTTTCTCTTCAAACAGATGCTAAATCCATGATAGTAGTTCACTTGAAAGAGAAAACTGACTGTAGAAGAAGATCATCAAGCCGCGACCCACTTACCATATATATATATATATATATATATATATATATATATATACATATACTCATTAAGCCTGTCAGCATCTTATCTGACAGATACTGAATCTGGACAGCGTGTTTTTCTCTGGCACTCTTTACTTAAATTGCATATGAGCTTTCATGCACATCTTTTAAAATAAAAGTCTCGCATTAGAAAAACATTAAGAATTACGTTTTTTGTTGTTGATGTCGTTTCTTTGGCCGTACACTCTGCAACCCACCAGTTGAGAAACACTGGTTTACACTGCTATAGTGCCTCTTGTGGCAATGCTTAGAATAAATAATGAATTGAGCTCAGACAAATTTTATAATGACAAAATATATGAGCAACAAATTATAAACAAAAAATATAAATACAAATATTGAAGTGATTAGAAACATATTTTAGGACTATTAACATTTATTTTATGTTATCTATCTTCATTTTCTGAATAACAATACAAAATTTAATATTTCAAATATTATTCTGGATAGAAACATATTTTATTTTTGTTTTTCTTTAATTTATTTTGTTTTATTTTTATTTTGAGGTTGTGACCCAGACATGTTTATAGACATATTCTATAATACATAGTTTACTTTTTTTTTATTTTTGTAATTTATTTAACTTTTTGCATGGAACTAATATTTAATATTTGTAGGAACAGACCGGTAACAAGTTGGACAAAGTGTTTATTGTAATTCAATCATAGATTAAATTGTTAATACTGAATCTGAGACATTTTGTCTGTAGGTGTAGAAGAGCCTGATATTCCATGACTACCATAACATTACATCCACGTGTCCCTAAATCATTTTCTTTATATAAATAATGCAGAACGAGTCTCTGGAGCGTCAGATGAGGGAGATAGAGGAGAACTTTGCAATGGAGTCGTCGAGTTCCCAAGACAATATTGCTCAGCTGGAGGAGGACATACGGAACATGAAGGACGAGATGGCAAAACATCTGCGTGAGTATCAGGATCTGCTCAGCGTCAAGATGGCCCTGGACATCGAGATCGCCACCTACAGGAAGCTTCTGGAGGGGGAGGAGAGCAGGTGAACACTTAGTACATTAGTGCTCGATTCATTTATTGAGATGCTGCCGTTTCATGGACATGGTTTATTTTTGGGTTGAAACAACATGTTGTTATGTTTTATAAAATAATTTTACACTTTATTCTCTTGGATGTAGAATTTCAACCCCTCTTCCAAACTTCTCTTCCTTCAGTCTGAGAGGTAAGACATCAAGTCACCAATACATATCATAATGAAACATATAAAAATATGTTTGTACAGATTCATTGAAGATAATCTCGCATTTTGACAGAAACGATGCTTGAGTCCAAGCCTGTCATTGAAAATACATTTACTAAGAAAGTTCTTATTAAGACCATTGAGACCAGAGATGGACAGGTATGTGTTTGACTTACCACAGTATTTTCACACAGTCTTGCAATTATTAAGAAGTTAAAAGTTTTTAAACTACACCGAGTGTATCACTTACTGGGTGTATTTGACAAAAACATGTCCAGGTCACAACATACAGTTCATACATACTTAAATACATGAATGAATCAATAAATGAATGCTAATTCTGCTGTTTAATATATATATATTTTTTAATCGTTCAGAAAATTAAGCATGTGATAGGATCATGTTTTTGCAGTGTGACATTATTTTATTGACAATTAAGCACATTTCCCCCAAAATCTAATTATGTTATGCTAAGTAAAAAGGGTTGAAACAACAAAATACCTTAGGTCACAACTCCAAACTAAACTAAACTAAAAAATGAAATAAATATTTTAAGACCATTGAGACCAGAGATGGACAGGTATGTGTTTGACTTACCACAGTATTTTCACACAGTCTTGCAATTATTAAGAAGTTAAAAGTTTTTAAACTACACTGAGTGTATCACTTACTGGGTGTATTTGACAAAAACATGTCCAGGTCACAACATACAGTTCATACATACTTAAATACATGAATGAATCAATAAATGAATGCTAATTCTGCTGTTTAATATATATATATTTTTTAATCGTTCAGAAAATTAAGCATGTGATAGGATCATGTTTTTGCACTGTGACATTATTTTATTGACAATTAAGCACATTTCCCCCAAAATCTAATTATGTTATGCTAAGTAAAAAGGGTTGAAACAACAAAATACTTTGTCACAACTCCAAACTAAACTAAACTAAAAAAATGAAATAAATATTTTTACTTAGAAAATTAAGCATATGATAGGATTAATTTGCATTGTGCAAATTGTGAATTTTGCACAATTATGCACTTTCCTCCGGATTTTATAGTTTTATTTATCTTTTGATAATTGACACCTCTATGATCTCTATGACTCCTTACAATTTACAATATTAAGGTTTCTACAGTGAACCTGAAATAAATCTAATCTAATTTTAAGTCTATGATTTCATTTGGGTCTCTCATGAAAATTAAGTATATGACAGGATTAAGTTTTTGCATTTTGACATTATTATTATTCTTTCATTATTTTAGTGAAAATTAATCACTTCCCCCATGTTTTGTAATTCATTTATTTTTATTTTATAATTCACATTTATCTCTGTTAATCTCTCTCATTTACAATATTACATTTTGTGAACTTAAAAGTTCTACAATGAACCTGAAATCTAATTGCAAGTCAGTGATTTCATTTGGGTCTCTCATGAACACTTCCACTCTTCTCTTCCATTAAGGTGATCAATGAGTCCACTCAGAACCACGATGACCTGGAGTGAAATCTACTGTTATCATCCACTGCAAGCAACCAACTGCAGCACCTTTCTGTATCCCCACTATCAACTAAATCTAATGTGAACTACACACAATAACCTGCTTCAAAGTGCCTTTAAATCTGCCAAACCTTACAAGTATTTGAGCCTGTAGAGGAAATGTAGTGATAACACACAAGCAAAGAAACAGCATGACCTTTAGCGTACTGTGAATCTTTTTTATTGTCTGAACCTGCATTTATCTTCTAAATAGCATTTTTGAGCCAATGTGATTTTGTTTAAGCAAAATGCTTCAATAAAAACAATCAAAGAAGGGTTTGTATTCACAAAGAACCTCATTCTTTGTCTGAATGTTCATCCATGGGCTATTATTATTATTGTGGTAAATTTGCAAAAAACAAATTACATTTTTTTTTACAAAGTAAAACAGTAAAAACCTCAATATCAAAAATCCTAAATCCAAAAAGAATATTTAAATTATTCCATTTTACACAAAGGTCTCTCATTACTCTGTTCCTGGTCTTGGGTTTGAAGCCCATCACTGCCATCTTGTGGACCAGAAAATAGGTGCACCCTCAAGTTTAAGTGTTTTAATGGACCTTTTCTAAACAAGGTGCTTCTCTTAGTGAGGAGCATCCATGTCCTCTATTAGTGGTTCATGTGGGACAGGATGTGTGTTCCTGTCTGTTTGTTGCAGTGATGGAGATTTGTACTCCCTGGACACGAGTGTTTCTGTTCCTGTTCACTCCCAGGGAAGCACACCGAGTGCTCATGTCATGTGTTTGGTGTCATAACCCAATGGCATTTTTAAAGGAATAGCTCACCTAAAAATCATTTACCACGTCATTACAAATGCATATGACTGTCTTTCTTCTGTGTAATACAAAAGGAGAATTTTTAAAGAATGTTCATGGTACATATTAACTCAGAGAGAGAAGATAGTGATTAAAGGGCTGTCAAGCTACAAAAAAGTATCATAAAAGTAGTCCATACAACTCATCCACTACATTTTGAGTCGGCCAAAGCCATACAATTGCTTTGAGTGATGGACAAACTGAATTTTAAGTTGCTATGTTCTACAATCTACCCATTTGTCATTTGTCAAATCTCATTTACACTCGTTTTCACATATTCATAGGTTCAACGTCAGTTATTTCAGACAACGGGTACTCATGCATCCTCTGGCCAATTGAAGCAAACTTGAATTGTTTTACTTTTAAAAAATACATGTAAGTGCAACTTGGGCCAGCGACAAACTAGCTATCAGCTGATCACACCAGTTTAAGGTGGTCAGCTTGGTTAGTAACATATGGGTCAACCAGCTACTCATTAGTAAATGGATCTCTTATGACCAGTAATAGCTAGAAACCAGCTATCAAACTGGATTTTGCATCAAGGATGAGAAAGGAAATAGAGAAATACGGTTGCTACCAGTGTTGGGGAAAGTTACTTTTAAAAATAATGCATTACAATATTGCGTTACTCCCTGAAAAAGTAACTGTGTTACTTAGTAAAAATAACTCAGACATTTTCCTTGTAAACTAAAAAGTAATCAGTTACTTTACTAGTTATTTGAAAAAGTAATCTGATTACGTAACTCGCGTTACTTGCGTTACCCACAACACTGGTTGCTACTTCATGAAATGAAACCAAAATTTTATATAGGCCTAGCCTATTTCTGATAAAATTTTTGAAATACGTTTTTTTTGTAAAAGCAAAACTGTAAACAAACAGGGCGTAGGCTATAAACGTACATACTGAACTAACGGATATGCTAATGTTGATTTCCAATGTTAAACCCCTTTATAAATAGGCTATTATTTATTTTTAATTGTGAAAGTAATTGTATATTCGCAGCTCGCCAGTGTCGGATTTCATTAATGTGACACACTTGACAGACTAATTACAGATGCTTGTTTTCAACGCTCTCGACCCCAGAGACTCGTGTTTGCCAAACTAACTTTATTCATGTGACGACGGCTTCTCTCGGGAAAGCGCTGGAGATTTCCGCTGGTTTTCGTCGTTTCCAGCTGACAAAATGACTTACAGATAGACCGAACCGAATGCGAGGAAAGTGGATCAGCACATGTTTAACGCTCAGAGGACACGGTTTGCTTAGTAGCCTATCATATCATTTAATGAGGACGCCACAGCAATGACAGAGTCTGAATCCGAGTCATGGAGTGTGTAACCGTGTTTCCAGAGCAGACGGTCAGTCAGCTGAAGGCTGTTTGGCAGAGATGGGCTCAGTGACCTCAGCTTTCACCAGGTCTCGCAACACGTTGGTCAAAGTGGGTTCGGAGCCGCAGAAAGATCCGTACGGGAAAACGCGGCGCGGGTCCGGTGTGATCGCAAAGCAAACTAGCAAACAACCGCTGGCGCGGAAAACAACCGGCGCCTCCAGAGCAAACACGCCACAAGCTCCTGCGTCTTCTACAGGTGAGTTTCTGTCAGCTTCTGTCATCATTCATATCCGTATGAAGGTGGATTTATGGAGTGGATTAAAGCATACAAAGCGATAATGGTTTGATTTATGTTTTTGTTATAATTGTTTTGTTTAATTACAGCAGCCCCAAAAGTAGAACTAGCCTACTTGGAGTCTTAAAGGGATAGTTCACCCAAAAATGAAAATTTGATCATTATACGACTGATAGACTGCAACAGTTAAAGTTAAAAATCATCAAATGTGTTCTACTGAAGAAACAAAGTCACCTACATCTTGGATGGCCTGAGGGTAAACAGATAAACATAACATTTTCATTTTTGGATGAACTATCCCTTTAAGACGTTTATAAAGGTCATTGCATTACATATCAAAATATCAAACCAAAACAAAATGGAATTCTTCCAAAAGAGTTGTTCACCCAGGTTTTGCAGTTACTTTTAGGGTCACGTGACGGTTAGGCTTATTGTTTGGTCATTGACAGAACAGTTTGGCTAATATCATGTCTGACATGTAACTGTAAAAATTCTTATAGGCTGAAATTGTTTTTTTTTCTTTTTCTTTTTAATAAGTAGTGAAATTTAACATACATATTTAGAATATTCAGAAAACAATTCGTAACAAAATGACTTTTTACACGGAAAATATTTTCAATTTATGAAAGATTTAATTCATAAATTAAAATATATACATTTTTTATATTTTTGTGGGACTTAAAGTGTATATATATGTGTGCTTTAATAAAGGCTTTTGAAGTCTTAAAGTTATTTAAAAATAATACATAATTCATATATTAAAGCTGCAGTCTGTAACTTTTTTTGGGTTAAAAATGATCCGAAATCAATATTTGAATGCTGCAGGTGCGGATCGTTTATAGCCTTTTCTCACAGCAGCTGGAATAATTAAATGTATCATTTTGATGGCGGATTGTAATCCAGAAAGGATTATGTGTTTATGAAACGCATGTGAATGAAATTAAATTATATTCCAGTTTTAAATGTGCGTCTGGTTACAGATAGCCTGGGATTACACAAGATTTGTATTTTAAAGACAACCAGTTCGAAGGGAGCATAATTTGTTTTTTGGGTTCAAAGAATTTCTTAATATGAAATTCGAATAATATTACAATTAGAGATTAGACTGTACAGAAATCTACTCTCTTATACACACTATACTCATAGTCACGCAATACTGATGTTGTTAAAATTAATCATTTGAGAATAAAGTACAACAATAATAATTTGCATGGTTTGATGTGATATGAGCTAACCGATCTTTAGATTAAATCACTATTGTAGCACGATTTATTGTAATGCTTTTTTTCCTCAGTTGGTCAGAACAAACGTAGCAGACTTGTTACTTACTTGTTCAGATGGCAATATACGGTGAAAATTCTTATTTGGGTCATATATTCCAAGACGTAGGCTAGAATCTGTGATTACGAAGTACAGTAAATATCCACACCGGTGCGGTGACTGACTACCACACACACACACACATACTCCTCAAAATGTTAGATTCAGCCGCGCTGGAGCCGTGCCGCCTCACAACCCACGCAAGGAAGATAATTCCGCAAACAGCTGCAATTCCAGGTTTTCAAACAGAGATGGCGGGCAAAACTTACGGACTGCAGCTTTAAATAAGCAGTTCATTTTTTAAAAATATTATTCATGATACTTTCAAAAAGTACTTTATTAATGGTCAAGAAGTGAGTTCTTCATCAACTGCGATACATACTCTGACACAATTTTGGACGCTTGTGTGACAAGGTCAATAAGTTGTTGACCTTTGACCTTTTCTGAAAAAGCATGTTGAAAATGTGTGGATAATCATGACTCAAAAATTACTGATTTATGTTTGTAATTTTATAAAAATTATTTTTATTCATTTATTTGTTTTTGTGAAAATAAGATTGTTATATAAGTTATGATTGGCTATCGTAATAATTTTTTTATCAACATTAATATATTTTTAAGTGAGCTCAAGTGTCCAGATCCTCTTTTGGGGTTCCCTGTATTTATCTGCCTCTATTAGGTAATTGTGGAATTTAAGCGCATGCCTTCATGAGACGGGTGGGAAACGGGTGTCTGCTCATTTTGGGTCAAAAACGGGGGTGATAGCGGCCATTTATCTGCACATTAGAGAGTTCAGGCACTTCTGCGGAGCAGATGAGAAAAACGCTTCATAATGGGATGATCAGTGATGTGCCGCTGCGATTCTTTTGAAGGGTCCAGATCCGTGTTTGAACTCTGATGTTAGAATAACAGTCCTCATGATGCTTTATATAGCACAAGTGTTTTTCAGATGGATTTTTACACAAGTCTAAAATGGACATAACCATGCAAGCTTATTTTTATGAGTTCAGTCTGCTGTTGAAAATGTATATATAAAGGTTTATTTAGTACATTTATAAGATACACTACCTTTCAAAAACTTGGAGTCTGTAAGATTTCTTAATGTTTTTGAATTAAGTCTCTTATACTGACAAAGGCTGCATTCATTTAAAAAAAATACAGTAACTACAGTAATATTGTGAAATATTATTACAATTTAAAATAATTGTTTTCATTTTAAAATATACTTTTTCCTGTGATCAAAGCTGAATTTTCAGCATCATTACTCCAGTCTTCAGTGTCACAGGATCCTTCAGAAATCATTCTAATATTCTGATTTGCTGCTCAAGAAACACTTATTATTATTATTATTATTATTATTATTATTATTATTATTATTATTATTATTATTATTATTATTATTATTATTATTATTATTATTATTATTATTATTATTATTATTATTATTATTATTATTAATGTTTATAATAATAATATATTTGTTTAATAATAAACAATAATAATTAGCAATTATTATTAATGAATTTGGTTGTGTTGCTTAATATTTTTGTGAATTTTTTTTCGTGAAACTTCAGCTAATAGAAAGTTCAAAAGAACAACATTTATTTGATATCTTTTGCAACATTTATAAATGTCTTTACTGACATTTTAATCAGTTTAATCTGTCTTGCTGAATTAAATTAATTTCTTTCAAAAACAATTTTTTCTTCCCCAAACTTTTGAATGGTAGTGTATATGCAAAGGTGAAGACCTCATCATAACAAAATATGAAAATGGATATTATACTTAAAGAAAATAATATATTTTAAGTGACTTTTCTGGCCTGTTCCAAGTTTTTAAGAAGTCCTTTTTTGATATCCCACTTCTCTGTCCCCTTTTCACCTGACCGCTAAAGGAAGAAGTGACCCTCGAGGGTGACTAAAATATCACCTGTAGCTCTATGTTTCATGGTTACCATGAAGCAGTGACAGTAAAGTCTCCCGCTGAGGTCCCTGAGAGGAAGGTTTTTCTCCCTCTACAGCATCTCTAGAGAGTCACAGGTGGGGAGACACCAACCAACACAGTGACCGAATGTTACGTTTAGATCAAAACAAAACACCTGGAGCTCTGTGCTATGTTGTAAGAGTTGGAGGTGTGGTAAGGTGTCCCGAGTCCAAATTTGACAGTACACCCTTAAACATAAAGGTTCTTCATTGCCAACTTTGGTTCCATGAAGAACCTTTAACATCCATGGAAACTTTCCTTTATTTTTTCACTTTATAGTGTGTACAAAAAAAAAAAAACTTCTTTAGATTATAAAAATGTTCTTTACACTAAGAAAAAGGGGTTCTTTTAAGAACTTTTTTTGGGAAACCAAAAATGGTTCTTCTAAGACATTGCTGCAAAAAAAAAAAAAAAAACCTTTTGAAAGCTTTATTTTTAGGAGTGCATTATGTAGCCTGTCACATTTCAACTCAAGCAGTCTGTGTCGTTCCTGCATGTCTGGATGAGACAGACACAGACACCTGCTATGAATAATTAGGGCTTTGTTATTTAAATAATGAGTGATGTGTGTGAACATTGTAACTTGCATTTTCAAACTTTTTTTAATTACTAAAACTGGCAGTGGCATTATACAATAATTATATAAATTATATAAAACAATAAATACAGTAACTTAAAGGTGTAATAGGTGATTGTTTTCAGAAACATTTTTTGTTATGCTGGTTGAAAGTCTCTTCACATCCCGATAGCAATCATTAAGTTAAGTGGTCTAAATGTATTTATCTGTATTTATATATTCTGTGGAAGGCGTAGGACCAAGAAATGTTCGTCCAATCAAAACGCTCGGTCCGAGCGTTTTAATTGGCTTTCCTAACTGCCTGTCAACATATGTATTTGCATACCTATGAGCACACTGTTCGCGCAGACAGGATACGTCATCAGCGCGTTCACGCACGCTGTGCAGACAGAGCGAGAATGGCAGACAAACATCAACAACCAGAACTTCCTTCCTGGTATTGTAGTACTTTTATTAACTGTACTATAAAGTTTTCTCACCGGTGAATGACACATGATGTAGCCCAGTGGTTCCCAAATCCAGTCCTCGCACAAGGGAAGCAGGGGAAATCCGTTGAAGTTTACTTCACTTCGGAACATTCATTCACGGATTTGCGCTGCGCAGCGTCTTCACACACAGACGAAACTTACTAGAGAAGTGTGAAATAATATACCTCTGTAAATAAATACTATTTAAATTCACGTCTCACACACTTTAATGCCCTTTGTATGGAACATATACGCTCGTTTCGAACTGGAATCATGGCGGAATATAAGTGATGTACATTTCCCAGGGCACTCACGGTCGAATAGAACAAACATCGCACGTCTGGATGGCGATTGCAGGGAGGGTGGGATGTTCGCTTTCAGTGCTATCAGGCTAAAGTTAGCATTTTCCATGATCTCCTACTACACCTTTAATTTCATGATTCTGAGAAAGTTTAAAGGGGTCATGAACTGAGAAATATAAATTTTTGATCTTTTGACCGGTTATTGTACTATAAAAACATCCTGTAAGTTTCAGAACTCGAAACTTTCTCGTTAGTCTAAAAACAGCTTATGTTGAAGGTAGTGTGCCAAAACGACAGCTTTTGGAATGTTCT